TGTAAGAGTTTTATAAATATTCAACTTTAAGTCCTTAAATACATACATCGTTTTTGCAAATATTTTTTCACAGCTTCTGGCTAGAACATTTATTTCCTTAACATGGTCTTCCTAATGTCTTCTGAAGACCATGTTTTAAAATTTTGATGAAATTTAATTTATCAAATTTTTCTTTTATAGTTTGTAGGTTTTATATCCTATTTAGGAAATCACTGCCTAAGCCAAAGTCAATAAAAGATTCTCCTCTGTTTTCTTCTGGAAGCTTTTTTAGTTTATGATTCAAGTTAATTTTTGTATATGTTGTATGGAAAGAATCACAGTCCTTTTTTTTTTTTTTTTTTGCATGTAGACATGCAATTGTCCGGCATTATTTGTTGAAAAGAATATCCCTTCCCCTCTTGAGTTATCCTAGCATCGTTGTTGAAAACCAATTGCCCATATATGCATAGGTCTATTCTGAACTTTCTATTCTATCTGTCTATCCTTCTCTAATACCCACTGTCTTGATTACCATAGCTTTTATAATAAGTCTCAAAATCAAAGAGTATGAGTCCTTCAACTATGTTCTTTTTCAAAATTGTTTAGGCTATTCTAGGTCATTTGTATTTCCACATAAATTTTAGAAGAGCTTATTAATTAAAAAAAAAATCACCTGTTTGGATTTTGACTGGGTCTACAGATTTGGGAAAATCTAACATCTTACTTAACAATACTGAGTCTTCTGCTCCACATGCATGATGTATCTCTCCATTTATCTAGGTCTCTCTTTTTTTCCGTCTATTGTATTTCTATATATACTAGCAATTGCTGATATATAGAAACACAATAGACTTTTGTGTATCTGATCTTGTATCCTACAACCTTGCTAAACTCACCGATTAGTTCTTTTTTTGTAGATTCCTTAGGGTTTTATATGTAGATGATCATATTATCCAAGAATAAACACTTATTTGTCTCCAATGTTTATGTCTTTTTTTCTTGCTTTAATGTACTGGCTAGCACCTCTAGTACAATGCTGAAGACAGTGGTACCAGCAGAAATCCTTGCCTTATACACCAATCTTAGGACAAAGCATTCAGTCTTTCACCATAAAATATGATGCTAATTGAAGATTTTTTTGTAGATGCCCTTTATCAGGCTGAAAAAGTTGTTTGCTGAGAGGTTTTTTTTTTTTTTATCATAAATAAGTATTAAATTCTGCCAAATGCTTTTTCTGCATCTACTGATATAATGTAGTTTCTCTTATTTTTAGTCTGTTAATATGATAAATTTTAATACTTCTGTCTTTAAAAGTCATTTATTCCTCAAAGTTGAAATCAACTTGGTAGAATCTTTTGAGCATTTCGTGACTTACTAAGCAGGCACGAAAACATAGCATCAAGAAATTATTCAAGTGAAGGTAAACCCATCCCTTCTGATATTGGCTCTGGTTGCTGTATCACGATTCCTTTATCCAAGAAAGATGTAGAAGAGAAATGAAAGCCAAGTCTCCCCCAGCCCGGTCCCAGGTCAGGAACTCTTCATCTAAAGGTTGACTGGCAATGCCATATGACCAGCAATTACAATCCGCCCGGGAGCCTGGGTGGTCAGTCACTAAAGCCTGACTGCCAGGCTGATACATGAGGGAAAAATTTTAAAACAACAACAACAAAACAGGCACAGGAGCAAGAGATAATCTAGCAAGCAGGAGAAAAGAAGGAAGAAAAATCCACAGAGAGCTTCTGCTAGACTGCTTATCCTGGAGTGCATGTGCATAAATCCCCTGTATGTGCCCCTTCTGACAAAGCTGCCCTCCACACAGACACAGATCTCTAACCTCAAAGAAACAGAAGTACTCACGTTGTCTTTCAACACAACCACAACAGCAACCCACTGTCATCCTCTGCTATCCTGGTGAGTGCTAACTAATGTTCCCTGCATGTGCTGTTGGATCCTGCAGCTGAAGACGCACATGGATTGGTCCAGAGATTTGGCCTTGGTGTGGCTGGCAAACTAAGTCCCAGAACAAAGCAACACACAGTAAACTAGAGGGAAATCAAAAGTCTGACTCGTGGGCCCCAAACTCATCAGGCGTCGCATACCACTCTTCTTATTACTAAGTAAACAGAGTCTCGCCCGATCTCCAGAGCCTTCCAGGCCACCTTCATCGCTATCCTGCCAAAGAGCTGACTAACTCTAAACGCCTCAAACTCCCCAGCAGTCTCCAAAGATATCTCCCCATCCAGCCTGCTTCTCATCCTTAGAAATCTGTTTACAGGCATAATCAAGCAGAAATGACAAAACATCTTTCAGTAAAATCATTTTTAAATTAAAAAAAAAAGTTTCTAAATGAAATGAAACATTTGAAGTATCAATAATCCAGAACTAGAAACATCTGAGTGAATAAATTTCCCATATGGGAGCTTCACTTCAAGTGACAAGTATACATGATATTTTAAAAATAACTTAAAATAGTATACGAAAGACTCTAGCACATTCTTTTATATTTTATTATAAACATAATGTACCAAAATAACAAGTTTAACTCACCTGTCTTTTTGCTTCTCTTAGTTTTCTTTTGAGGGCTGTCAAAATTCTTTGTACTTCCCATAGTCTTTCTTCTTTAGATAAATCCTTTATCCCACCCTGCAGATCTCGATGTAAACAATTCAAAAGAAACTCCTAGAAAGCAATGCCAGCACTAAGTAGCATTCTATGTCTTCCTGTCTTAAACCAACAACATGTGCGATTTCTAAAGATGTATAATCAACTACTTTTCAATTATCATTTCATTAAAGGAGTGAAATAATGGCACTGATTATTTTTTCAAGGATATGATTGAAAAAGCACCCTTGTTATTTGTTCCATCTGGGAATTAGGTGCCCACTCACTAATTTACATTAGTTCATTGGTAGTTAATTCAGTCCCCCCCATCATCAACTAAGAAGAAATGGGAGCTCAGAGCAGATGAAAGGGAAGGAAAGCAAGTACGGATTTGATAATGTGCCTGCAAATAAATAATCTAACATAATTAAACTTCTTATTTAGTCTTCAATTTTTTTATTCAGTTTGACCCTTCCCGCAGCACATGGCATTATTTCTTACATCAAAGTAGCATGGTGAAAAAGCCCAGGATTTGGGGTCAAAACTTGGTTCTGTAGCTTAATAATCATGTGACACAGAGTAAATTATTTAACTTCCCTAGATTTCAATATTTGTATCTGTAAATTACGGCTGATGATAGCAACCTCGTCCAGATACGCAAACAGTTTTGGACTGTCTACACTGTGCCTGGGCACGCTTCATGCCTTAACCCATTTGTGGTAGTCGTCACATCAACCCTATGGGAGGGTCCATTTTAAAATGAGAACACCAAGGCTTAAAGGAGGTTAAGCAACTTGCCTAAAACTAGTTATTAATTAGGAGGAAAGCAAGAATTTAAAGCCAGGTCTTTTGATTTAAAAACTATGCTCTTTCCACCATGATATTCTGTCTTCTTTGGCATGAAATAGTACCAAATGGCAATTTCCGACTTCAGTGTGCCACGAGGAACGTGCCTAACGCAGCTGCAGCCACGCAGGGAGTCTCAGTAAGAAGACTGACCATCGTCTGTCTCCAGGATGGCCACGCAGGGGCGGTAGTAGGCTCGGGTGTGGGGCTGAGGGCACACACCTGTCTCCGGATCTCCTCCTTGATGCCGGCCTGGGTCTCGGGCAGCGCGGGCATCGTGGCCATGTTAGACCATCGCAGAGGTTTTGTCACTTGCTTTAGAACCACATTTCCAAAGAGTTCTTGCACATGTGTGAAAAACACATACAGGACTCGATTGCTGATCTAAGAAAAAAATTACAAGGTTTATAAGAAAACTATTAAAATTATCATTTTATTTCATTTATTTGTGTCTATCACAAAGTGCATCCTTTAATCCTGGACACATGAATGAAAATTCTACCCAGCAGTGACAACACAGGCTTTGCTAATTAATGGCTAATCTAAGAATATGGCAGAATGTGAGTTAAATCATGTGGTCAAGCACCATAAGGAATTAAAAGGGAAAAAAGCCAAGAAAAGGATGCAGATGCTGACGACCATCGATTTGTTCTTTTCTATCACTGCGATGTTAACTGATTAAAACATCTTATGTTCTTTACTTCCAACTTATTTTGAGACCTTTTAACAGGACAGTGAGGGAAACGAGAGCACGTGCAATTGCAAAGCTGGGCTGAGGCCGAGGTCCTCGCTGCAGAAACGCGCGCCTCCTGGGCGCACTCGGGCAGCCAGGGGTTAAAGGTGCTCAGGCGCTAGAAGACCCGGACATGAGGTTGGCTGAAATAAAAGAAGTTATTTCCTACCTAAAACTTACACTTACAACACACTTGAATCTTCTGTGATACTGTCATCCCTATTATAATAATATTCAGTGTCAATGTTACTAATATTTACCAGATTCAGAAATCCCAGCTAGTATGAATGATCAAACTGAAGTCTGAGAAACATTTTGCTTCCAAAATATAATCAATGAGCAATAAAAGAATCTTTGGTAAATGAAACACTCTAGTAACAGTGATAGTGATTTATGGTGGCCTACGATACTGGCCAAAAAGAGGGTTTAAAATTTTTTAAAAAATCATCTTTTTGGGGGAGACCTGACTAAATCATCAATATCTCTAATTAAAGAAAAATATATGCTCTATGACAGCACCAACTGAGCAGCAATCAAGAAAAACCAAGTATTTATGTTGCAAAAAGACATCAATTAACACACTATTTAATTCCCTGGAGCACATTCTCAGGCTGAGCGCCTACAACAGCCTCTCCCGGATCTGAATGAAACTCTCAGGGTAAAACAAAATGACAAAACAATGACAAAACAAATGTTAGGCCCCTTTGTGTGAGTGTGATGTGTGTGTGTGTGTAATTAAGCAATAATGCTATCTGATGAAACAACTATCATCTTTAAAATCCTACAGATGAACTGTGTAATTGCTTCTCCCTCTGCTAACGACAGATCACTGTCATCATCAGCAACTTGTTTATAAACCCACAGCAAAGACTGCACGATATTCAAATTACACAGCTACAGGCTAAAGGACAACTCTGCTCTGTTATGTGACATGTCAACACTGTCCACGCTGTAAAAGAAAGACGCCTATATTCAAACTAATCCATTATCTACCTTCTCTAGTCAATTGCTTCACATGCGACTGACAGAAAGTGTCCTCCACTTCTCAGTGTCGGAACAGAGGGGACCGTGTAGGGAAGACCATGTACCTGGACGGTGGGACTGAGCACTATAGAAATGTTCTGTATGTTCATTTTTGTTTCCAGTTCCTTGGCGATGACATGGTCCATGTGCACAATGAGCCAGGAGATCAGAAGGTAGTTACATTCCGGCAGTTCTTTGAGTAAGCGCTGGAACTCCTGTACTTTCTCACTCTCTGAGGTCCTCCCACAAGCCTCTTCGAATCGGGGCATAAGCTCTTTGGTAAGCAGATTCTCTGGAAGGTCTCGCAAATACTGCTTCAGCAAACTGGCTACCGTGTTCGGCTCATATTCTTCCAAGTTTGTAGACTCCTCTCGGTCATAGGCTGCTTTTAGCTCATCCACTTTTGATTTAATTCCTTAACGTTCAAATTCAGAAGAGAGAGAATACTAAGAAAAAAAACTCAAACACACAGCTTTCACCACCACTATACTCACCCTTGCTGGGGAGATTCAAGAACAGCCACCTGACCAATAAATAATTCATAACAAGAGGTTTATTATCTCAACAAGGGTCATATAATTTCTCTGTAAACACCATCGCTTAACAAAAAGCTAAAGGATAATTGGAAAGGTCAGTATTTTCAGAACAATCATAAATATTTTAAGCAAATATGCCAACTGATTCAGGAAAAAAAAATTTTTAAATTTAAAGATAGCTAGGTAAAAATTCAGGCAAAAATTAAACTACAATCCAAGCATAAGTCTTGTCCCACACAGGCAGCCAACTGCCTTTTCAAACTAGTCACGAGACTGACAACATAAAACGCAACTTGGCCTATACATAAGTATATTCCCAAAAGTTGTGGGTAAATTACTTTTTTATAAGCAAAAATTATATTGTAATTGCAAAAGGGAAGTTAGCTATCTAAACAAACTCTTTGAAAACTATTCTTCATTATATAGTCCCCAACTAAATTCTATTTTAAAGTTTGGATTCTTTAAGTGCTTCCTTAATCTAAATAGAACTGGAACAAAAGTAAATAAAGTTTGGGTTTCTAAAATCAAATTGTTTTGCTTTGCTTATTGGAAAGACACTCTAACACACAAAACAAATATTATCCAAACGTTATGTAAGTGTCTTTGTTTTTTTTTGAGACTGAGTCTTGCTCTGTTGCCTGGGCTAGAGTGCTGTGGTGTCAGTCTAGCTCACAACAACCTCAAACTCCTGGGCTCAAGCGATCCTCCTGCCTCAGCCTCCCGAGTAGCTGGGACTACAGGCATGCGCCACCATGACCGGCTAATTTTTTCTCTATATTTTTAGTTGTCCAGCTAATTTCTTTCTATTTTTAGTAGAGACGGGGTCTCACTCTTGCTCAGGCTGGTCTTGAACTCCTGACCTTGAGCGATCCTCCCGCCTCAGCCTCCCAGAGTGCTAGGATTACAGGCGTGAGCCACCACGCCCGCCCGGCATAAGTGTAAGTCTTTAGTCCAATTCGCATTGCATTAAGTGGCATAATTCAGTAACAGTGATTGGCCAGAAAACACAAAGTAGCTTTTTTCTTTGCTTTTAATACTTAACACTTTAGGCCAATTGTTTAGGCCACAAATTAAGGCTGACAGTTTCTAATGGTAAATGCCATCTAACCTGTGTAGCATCTTAGAATCACCACAGTGCTTACAGCTGGGCTTCGGCATGCCTTATCTTATGTGAAAACCTTGAATGGCATTACAATAAATCTGTAACTTACCCAACACTGACAAAATAAAATCAATAGCACCAAATACAAAAATAACAATATGAATTTACTTTTGCATAATATTTAAGACAGAAAAGTCAGAAGATAATTCCCATTGTCTTACTTTTATGACACTATGAGTAAAACATGAGCAATAACTTTAACTGAAATTCTCGGCAAAGATCTCCTCTCTTCGTCATTACGCATGTAATTTTCCCCCCAGCGAACTGCACATGTGGACAATTAGAATATATGTGTTTGGTTTGCTGTGACTCTGAAATTATTAAAATGTCTTCCTTTTAAAAAGTAGATATTCCAGCTGGTTCTCCTCTGCACGGGGCTGGTCCTCATCTGCAAGGGGCTGGTTCTTTTCTACAGGGACCACCAGCCTCTACTCTGCCTGTGGAGGAGACTTTCTAGAGTTTCTGGAGGAGGCTGGTTCTTTTCTGCAGGGAGAACTTGTCTCTGCTCTATCTGTGGGGTAGACTTTCTAACTTTCTACAGTTTCTGAATAAATCTCGCTTTCACTTTAAAAACAAACAAAACTGGACACTCCAAATAAAGCATTCCAGGGAAAGAAAGAGTATACAGGTACATTTTAATGCAAAAGATATAAAACATAGGTAATTAAAATCTCTAAAACCACTTAAATCGTCTTTCATATTAGTTTTAAAATTGGAACTGATACATAAATAAATGAGACTCAAAATCTACAGCAAAAAAAAAAAAATGTATTACTATTCAAAAAGGAAAGTCTTATCAGAAATGAATGTGGAATTACACCAAATTATACTATAATTAGCATCTGGGGCTACACTCTGCTTTCAGAAGTAATATAAATTTACTGACAATTATGAAGATAAATACCCAAAGACAAATTCATAAAAGTAGGCACTGGGAGCTTCTATTTAATAGATGTACAAATGTTGGAAAATTGCAAAGCAGCAAGTAAAATTTGTTATGGGGAATGCCCAAAGTTAAAAAAAAAAAAAAAAAAGTAAAGTCTTAGCCATAACTGTAGTACAAGATATGCTGACTATAACACACTACCACAGGTTAAAGAATAAACATTATATAAAATCCATCAAAGCAAGAGGTCAGGTTCTAGGAGTCAACGCTGGGGAAGAGCTCCGTTTGAGTGCTTTTACACATAAGTAGAGGAGAGTTCCAACAACTTTGAATTTCCAATAGAATTCAAACAGCAAAAATAGGTCAGAGACAAAAGAATTCTTCAAACAAAGCTGTAGAAACTTTTCAGAGAAACTTTAACAAAATATTTCTTCATGCCTATCAAGATCATGAGAGAAGTAGCGTATGTTATTAATGTTTAGACTTTTAAAAATCAATTTGCATAAATTATGAACCCAATATGAAACACATTCTTGCCAAGTATGAAATTTAAATTTGTATATATATGGGATGAAGACGAATGGAAAATCAATTTCACTAACATATGTAATAGCTGCAAGTGGCTGACAGAGCATTCACGTTTGGGGCCTAAACATTTGGAAAAGAACACTTCATCACTTTTCAGCCCTTTGGCTGAGATCAAGTGTAGTATCTGTTCTTATCAGTTTAATATCTGATAAGTCCTCTATCCAAGAACAATATATCAAGTGGAGTTTGGAGTTTTGGAGCAGCTCGCTCAGTCCACTCCACGCATCAACCTGGTACTGCAGTTCCTCCAGGAACTGCACCTCCAAAGAAAAAAAAACCACACCACTTCATGTCTCTTAGCTGAGCTCAGGACATGCTCTATGACTATGTCAACAAATGTGCCTCAACGTGCCTTCTGCCCAAGAAGCTTCCTTCACGCAGACATCCTTCCTTCTCTCGCTGATGGCCCTCGCACCACAAAGCCTCTGCTGAGACTGGGAAGAAAAGAAGAAAAAAGCAGGGTCCGAGCACAGCTGTTAAGCAATGCCACCCACACGCTTCACGTGTCCTAGTCCTGGCTGCAAGCTATGAACGACTCAGGTGGGAATCCTCCTAACTGAGGGAAATATCATAAAAAACCAAACTGCCCAAACACCAAAAAGGAAATGGGGTGAGAATTTTTGTGCAATTGGAAGGATCGAGGAAATGAATAAGGCTTAGGACCCAAGCCAAATTTTCTGCTCAAGTTAATATTTTTCCTTCCTTCGAAATATGAAAGTGAGTTAATTTTTAAAAACCACCAAGTGCATGTCCCCAGTACCTGAAACTCTATAGATGCCTTCACACTTCATGCCATACTTCTCTACGTAATCTACACATTCACGGAAAACTGCCGGCAGCCGGATGCCGTCATACATCATGGTCCTCTCCACCGCATCAGCCAAAGGAATTCCAAAAATGGGTCTGAGATTCGGAACATCGATCTGAGGCACCTCTGGTTCCTGAATTGGCTTCTTCTTTTTCTTCTTTTCCTTCCACTGTTTAACAACATCTGCTGCTGTCAAGTCTTTTGACTTCTTCTCTTTATGTTTTTCTTCTTTGTGCTTTTCTTCTTTATGCTTTTCTTCTTTGGGTTTTTCTTTTATTTTAAAATCCTTCTCCTTCTTTTTAGAAAAGCTGGGCTTCTTGAAAACATGGATTCCCTTGGACCTCTTCATTTTAGAAGGACTTTCAGCTTCATCTCCAGAGCTATCTTCATGAAAGGTAGCATAGCCTTCCGCTGCCAAAGAAATGTAGACAGTGTAAGTTATACGTTTGTTTAATGTCAAACTGTCCTATGCTTTCCAAAGACAGAATCAAAAACAGTGCCACGTGGCACTAGCTATCTGGCTTCCCACTTCAGGCCAATCCCTCCTGGTGCTTCCAGCAGAGAAATGGGTTTCTTCCCCACCAGAAAGAGATGTTGCAGTGACGTCTCCTGACCACAAGAGGGCGATGAGCAGCTGACAGTTACCATTCTTACACTACTAGTGGGGGAAACTGGTTTTACATTATGTATGTAAGTGAAATTCTGGCAAACCAAATATTACAAATACACATAAAAGGTTCTACATACAGAACCAATGGAATGATTCCTTCTATAAAATAGAGTGTCATTTCATCATGTGAATCATGTCCTTTAACATACTACAGGTTGAGTATATCCCTTATCTGAAATGCTTGAAACCCTGAAGTGTTTCGGATTTTGGATTTTCCAGGATTTTGGAATATTTGCATTACATCAGTTCTGCATCCCTAATCCAAAAATCTGAAACCTGAAATGCTTCAATGAGTATTTCCTTTGAGTGTTGTGTTAGCACTCAAAAAGTTTCAGATTTTTCAGGTTTTGGAGCATTTTGGATTAGAGATCCTCGATCTGTAACTACTTTGCCTACCTTTATCCTATTTGGTGCCTGCGACTTGAGGCAATCTGAAAGCATAACACAAACCGCACTACTGTTTAATATGCTTCAGTTATTACTCTATCACACTTCACTCTCCTGTCACAAGCTGTTAAGTTCTTCCTGGAGACCACAAAAGGGATTGCGGCCTTACTTGAGTAAGGACTGAACCCAGAAATTCCCTCGTCTTTGGCTGGTGGCCAAATCTGGTGGTCCACTTCCCTGCATCAGAAGCTCTGGTTTTTACACCCTAACAAAAGTACCCAATTGCTTTAACACTGTGTCAGAGCTGTCATAGTTTGGTTTTGCTGTTTTTTAATATCTATAACTCCCCTATTCTTTTCCTTAGCTAGCTAGCTATCCTACAAGCTATTTTTTTCAACTCCAAGATCAGTCCAAACCTTACAAGCTATTTTATAACAAAGATTAAAGGTATTTCATATGTTACGTTCTAACTAAAATGCCACAAACGCCATACCAGCTGGAATGGCAAAAATCTTAAGGCAGGCCGAGTGGGGTGGCTCACATCTGTAATCCTAGCACTTTGAGAAGCTGAAGCAGGAGGATCACGTGAGCTCAGGAGTTCGAGACCAGCCTAGGCAACATAGCAAGACCCCATCTCTATAAAAAGTAAAAAAATTAGCTAGGCATGGTGGTACATATCTGTAGTCCCAGCTATTCAGGAGGCTGAGCCAAGAGGATCGCTTAAGCCAGGATTGGAGATTACAGTGAGCTGTGATCACGCCACTGCACTCTAGCCTCACTACAGAGTGAGACCCTGTCTCCAAAAAAACCAAAAAACAAAAAAACATTTAAGGGCAAAATACCATGACATAAAGCAACTAGAATTCTCATTCATTGATAGTGAGAATGTAAACTGGTACCACCATTCTGGAAAACTGTTTCACAGGATTTACTGCAGCTGAAATACACATGCCCCGTGAGCAAGCAGTTCCACCCCTAGGCATACACAGAACAGAAATACATAAACGTGTAAACCAAAAGTCATGTGACAATGTTCACAGAAGCACTACTCATAATGGTCAAAACTGGAAAAATAGCCAAAATAAGCAACAACAGTAGAATGGATAAACTCTAGTATATTAATGCAATGAAATAATATCCAGCAAAACATGAACAAATTACTGCTATATAGAATTACATGAATAAATGTAATAAACATGTTAAATTAAACTAAAGCTGCCTCATTAAGTATGAAATGTCTGATTTCCTTAAATATTAAGTTTGACAGTTGCTATCTCTGACATTTCACTTTGATGCTTCTTGTTTTATTTTTATTGTGAAGGTACATCCTCTGTCTTTCAAATGCACATTGTGGCTCATGATTATCTTCCAAATTTTTTTTAGACCAATTTTTGTGAAACCATGGATAAGTCAAAAATTCATGTTATTTTCGAATACGAGTTCCGCTGTGGAACCAACGAAACGCAGACAGCTTGAAATATCAACGCAGTGTTTGGGAAGGATGTGGCTAATAAACACACAGTATGTCGATGGTTTGAGAAGTTCCATTCTGGTGATTTTAATCTTGAAAATGAGCCACATGGGCAACCTGAGACCAAGGTGAATTGTGATGAGCTGAAAGCTGTAGTGGAAGCAAATCCATCTCATCCTACGCCTGAATTAGCAATACGGTTTGATGTTACTATTCCAACTATATTGGACCATTTGAAACAAATCGGCAAGGTAAAGAAGCTGGACGGATGCATTCCACATGAATTAAACGAGTGTCGTAAGAGAAATCATCTGGAAGCTTGCCTTTCTTTGCTGTCATGACATGAAGGTGAAGCATTTCGACACCATATTGTTATGTGTGATGAAAAATGGATTCTTTTAGACAATCACAAGCACTGGGCACAATGTTTGGATAAAGATAAAGTGACAGAACAGTACAAAACCTAATATTCATCAAATAAATCTAATAGTGTCTGGTGGTCCAGTGCTGGTATTATCCACTACAGCTTCATGAAACCTGATCAGTTGATTACAGCGGATGTCTGCTGCAACCAATTGGACAAAATGATGAGGATGCTTGCGATTAAGCAGCCAAGACTGGTCAACAGAGACAGGCCAATCCTCTTGCAAGACAATGCTGGACCACATATCACACAAACAACACTGCTCAAACTACAGAGGCTGGACTTGGAAACTCATTGTCATCCACTGTATTCATCAGACCTTGCACAAGCTGACTACCACTTCTTCCAGGCTTTGGACCATCTCTTGCAAGAGAAAATATTCAATTCTCAATAAGCTGTGGTAAACGCCTTTTGCAATTTCATTGCCACTCACTCTCCAGGCTTCTTCACTGCTGGCATAAACAAGCTACTGTTAAGATGGCAAAACTGTGTGGATAGTTTAGGCTGATATTTTGATTAATTGTACTGCTTCTTATTTGAGATAGAATAAACTACTTTTGATTCAAAATCGGACATTTCGTATTTAATGACCTAATATGTTAAGTTCAGCCTAAAAGTTTCTCTGTATATAGTGAACTGTAAGCTAACGAGATGTGTAAACAGACTGTAACCTACTCTTGCACCACAGAGTTTTGCCCAATCACAGGAGGCCAACTGTTCAAACTGTGTTCAAATAAGGGAAACACTGAGCTATAAGTAACCTAGCTGTTTCTGTACCTCACTGTCCTTCCTTCTGTCCATAAACATTATCCGATCACGTGGCAATCCCAGAGCCATTCTGAGCCTAGTCAGGTTCTGGGGGCTGCCCAATTTAGGAATCATTCTTTGCTCAATTAAACTCTGCTAAATTTAATTTGTCTGAAGTTTTTCTTTTAACATATAATATCGGGCAAAAGAAACTAGACACTTCCATTTACATAAGTTCAAAATCAGGCAGTATCAACCTACAATGAAAGAGGTTACTTTTGGGAGGGGTGGGGCATTCCTTTTGGAGAGGCAGTAAAAGGGAATTTCCAAGGTCCCAAAAACACTCTGTTTCTAGATCCTTGTAGAGGTTATGCAGGCATATCCGTTCATCAAGTTGTAGACAATTTGTATACTCTATCTATATGTTATCTACCTATGTCTATATGCTTCAAAAACAAATTAACTTAAAAATACCAGAAAGACCAAAATAAAGGAATACTTCAAATAAAAACTTACCTTATTTTCTTTTATCATACTAAATAGCTATTCTTAAATGATTCGTCCTCTCTACTGAATAGGACCTATAAATGGAATGCATCATGACATTGACTCAAGAAAAATGAATACCTATTTTATTAAATGTTCCAATAAAGTGTACCCCAACCTACCCAAGAAAGATTCTATAAGGGCAAAATTCCAATATCTACTTTTTATACATTATTTTAAATGACCACTTTAAGAAACAGTCATTGCAAATCTTTACCATTTCTGGAAACTCAGTGTTTTTGTGAGATTAAGACCTTAAGATACAAATCTAGTGTTCAAAAATTGAGACCCTAAAAATAAAGAACAGAAAATCAAACCAGTCTCTGACTTGTGCTTCCAGAAGACAGCTAATACATGGATCAGGATGGAGGTTTATCTAAAATACATCTAAAGCATAGGGAAAAAAATGGCACTTACTCCTTTTTTCCTTTTTCTTAAATTTTCCTTTTTTCTTCCCATGGTCTTTTTCATCATCAGACACTATATCAGGAGGCTCATGGAGGATGTCATGGGGAGGTGAGGGCTCGCCAGTGCGGTATAACCCAGGAAACTTAGTAGGGCTGATCTCTTCAGAGCTGGGGGTCCGGGTGAGCCCACCGCCATGCTCCACCCTCCGGTGTTCACTGGGGCTGCTGGTGGGGGGCAGGAAGCACTCAGTCATGCTGACGCCCTGATGAGAAAGGGACGAGGTCTTCTCTGTTACCTATCCATTGTACCTGCATACAGAGAAAAAAACATCGGCAGAGTCACCTAACACCAACCAAAAATCAAAACACCACAAATACACAGCGCAGCAATTAACCTTTTATTTACAAATAAAAAATATTTTCCTCCACAACCCCCCTTTAAAAATACTCTTTCATGTTATTATATTGTCTGGAGTTACATTCTATGCATCACAAATTTCAGTTCTCAGAGTTAGAAGCACTAGCACCTTCAAGTATTAGAAAATGAAAATCAGAGTTAGAATTCTCAAAGTAGAACAGGAGTTCCTTTTAAAAAGAACTGATCTTGTAAAAGGTTTCATTTTGACTGCTACCTAACATAAAGTCTCACCATTTTTTTTTTGTTGTTGTTGTTTGTTTTATGAGACAGGGTCTCTCTCTCTGTCATCAGGGCTAGAGTACAGTGGCATCCTCATAGCTCACTGCAACCTCACACTCCTGAGCTCAAGTGAGCCTCCTGCCTCAGCCTCCCAAAGTGCTAGGATTACAGACATGAACCACAGCGCCTGGCCTTGGCCATCATTTTTAAAAGTCCATTTTATTTTCCCATTAATTGAAGGTATCCTAAGTTTTGTCAATTGCAAGATTTGAGAGTCTAGAGGGAGCTAGAGTTCAACAAGATAAAGGTTATATTATACATTAGAGATGAGGTAACTAAAGCTCCAAACTCCACAAAAGCCAAAACACTTGTGAGGAAGAAGCACTGCTTTATACTCCAGAAATAAAAGTGCTTACAGATGTATCACTCACACCATTTTATTTTGCTCTTTCCTGCCTTTGCTCATTCTGTCTATAATCCACTCCCTGGAATCCAGCCCTCCTCTCGGTATTTTTGCATGGCTAATTCATGCTCATCCTTTACCACTAAGCCTGCAAATGGCATGAGGAATCTTTTGGGGGTGATGGAAACATTTCAGATTTGGATTGCGGTGATGGTTGCACAAACCTGTAAGTTTACTAAAAACCATCAAATTATATACTTCAAGTGGGTGGATCTTATGGTATGTAAATCTTAACTCAATAAAGCTGTTTTTTTTTTTTTTTAAAAAAAATCGAGCACCAGCAATACTCTCCAGGAATCCTCCCTGGTGACCCATTTCATCCAGTATAAGCCACAGATAATGCTTTTCTGTGCCCCCAGAACATCCTGAACATCCCTCTATGCACTGTATTTTAATTACCTATGCATGTGTCTGCCTTGCTTAACTGTGAGCTCCAGCGTTTCACACAACCCATGGCACACAGTAAGTACTCAAATGTTTATTGAACAGACTAACTGGCTCTCCTCCCTTCTCACCATGTATACTGCGGATGAGACAAAAATTAAAAAGAATGAACCTTGCCCTGAACCTTAAATTCTAATTCAGGAAATAAAGAAAGAAAATCCAAATTTTGTTTGCATTCCTGTGGCTTCTGGACCTTTCACATACATTAACTAACCTTAGCATACTCTAAAAGTAGTATTTTTCCATGTTTACAAAGAGCTTTAAATAACTTACCCTAAGTTACTCACAAGTAAGAGGTAAAATTGGGATTTGACTCAAAACACACTTTCCACTCAACTGCCCTTCACGTATATACACAAAACAAGGAGTACAGTCATGCCAGGAGGAACGGCATGGTTAAAGACAGAAGCAGAAACATACGGCACTTACTATAAGCATGGGAAGACTGGTCTGACCAGAGCAGTTCCTGCTAAGGAGCAATGGAAAAGACATTAAAAGGCAAGGTAGGCCCAGCCAACCAGATGGCAAGCTGAGTTCAGACTTGCTGTGGGAGTCATCGCCATTCCAAAGCCAGGAAGTGACAAAATTGGGGCTACGGGAGGAGTAAGGACAGGAATACCAGCAGCAAAATGCCAGACAGCTTTTGATCATTCCCTCCTCTGTGTTCCTACAACATTTGTGTAAGTGACACCTATGTTTACACTATCTCCTAGTTCACGATTATTTTTATATGGTTTTTATACTAGATTGATAAGACAAGAAGAGAGTTTTATTCATAAAGTACACCTAACAGATTTTCTTGCAAAAACTACTCTTAATGAAATATTTGTTGACTTGTGCTATGGACTGAATGTTTATTTCCCCTCCAAAATTCATATGTTGAAACTTAATCCCCAAGGTGATGGTGTTAGGAGGCTGGGCTCCTGTGAGGTGACTAGGTCACGAGAGCTATTATGAATGGGATCAGTGTCCTCGTAAGGAGATGAACAGACCACAGTTCACCCCTTCCACCATGTAAGGACACAGCGAGGAGGCACCATCTATCAACCAGAAGGCAGGTCCTCAGCAGACACCAAATCTGTCAGTGTCTTGATCTTGCACTTTCCAGCCTTCCAGAGCTGTGAGCAATAAATTTCTGTTTTTTATAAGCTACCCAATTTGTGGTATTTGTTATAGAAGCCCAAACAGACTAAGACAACTTGATTCACCTACAGCTGGAAATAGGTGGAGCCGTTAAAAGCAAATATGAAGCAGTGAGAGCCCAAATGTAGGATATTTTATAGGAATAAGAAAGGAAGAAGAATGTGTTTGCATTATGGCACATTGTTTGACTTCTGGGGAGCTATAGCAAGCCTAAATTTTACTTAAGAAAAGAGCAGAAGAGAGAAACTTCAAATGGTTCATAGTAAATTTAAGTATAATCATTCAAATAAAATAAACAACAAAAACCAGAAATTCTTATTCCTGAGGCAAGAAGATATCTGTGTAAATTTTTAAAAAATTGAATTAAAAAATACTTATCCTTATTCCTCCTCGTAAGTACAACTAAAAATCCCAGATATCAGATTTTTAAAAAAAAAAAAAAAAGAAGAAGAAGAAGAAAAAGACTCTGAAAGGTAGAGAGAAGATGACAGATAGGTTAAGAACCTCACGATAGAAAAAACATGGTGGTGAGTTCCCAGGGGTATTTTTTGCCTCACATCACAGACTTGGAGCTACAGAAGCCAGAAACCCAGAAACACCAACGGGCATAAACAAAAAACAAACAACAAACAAAGCTACAGTAATTAAGACAGTATGGTACTGCAGCAAGGACAGACAGATCAGTGCAATAAAGATAAAATCCAAAAAGTGGCGAGGTGCAGGACTCACTCACATCTATAATGCTAGCACTTTGGTGGGCCGAGATGGGAGCATCACTTGAAGCCAAGAATTCGAGACCAGCCTGAGCAACACAGCAAGACCCCGTCTCTACGAAAAATAGAAAAATTAGCCAGGCGTGGTGGCACATGCCTGTCTGTAGTCCCAGCTACTCAGAAGGCTGGGGCAGGAAGACCACTTGAGCCCAAGAGTTTGAAGTTGCAGTGAGCTAATGAGGACACTAACAATCTAGCCACCCCAACAGAAGTGAGACCCTGTATCAAAAAAGAAAATAAAAGAATATGAATAGTCAAGCCAAATACTTGAAAATATATTTGCTCTGTGTGTGTGTGTGTGTGTGTGTGTGTGTATCTGATCTGACAAAGGATTTTATCCAAAATAATAAAAAGACAAACAATCTAGAACAAAAATAGGCAGAGTTGAACAGTTTACAAAGAAAAATATACTGTAAAAGCTGATCATACAAATTGGGTCATTCTTGTCATACCTAACCATTAATAAATCAGAGTCAAAAGGCTAGGGGAAAAGCACTCAGGGCACATAACAGTGCTTCAAGAATGTAATTCTCTGCAAGCCTGGCTGCTGAAACTTCCTGCTGTAACCTCAAACCAGTTTTATCTAATAGCTACTAAAACAACCTGCTGTGACCCTAAGACTAGTTTTACCCACCGCAGTCACTCACCAATCAGAGCTTCACAGCTTTCCAAAACCTTACTAGTGCCCACTGACTTTCTCTAAGAGCAATATGTAACATTTCTCTTTGTAAAATAAAACCTCTAATCTTCTCTTTATTCTTGAGACATTCAAAGACACTCAGTCTGCGTATATGCCATGAATTCCAATTCTTGCTTCCCAAACAAAACATTTTAAATTTAAAGATTCTTCTCTATATTTGACTTACACAATACTAATGGTAAGTCCATGAAATAAGCTCCACATCACTAAACATCAAAGAAATACAAATTAAAATCATAACAAGCTATTAACAGACATCATCTAGAATGGATAAAATTTAAAAAGAACTATTCCTAACACTGGTGAGGAGATGGGGCACCCAGAAGTCTCGTACATTGATGATGGGAATGTAAAGTTTAATCACTCCGGAAAACTGTTTGGCAGTGTCTTTAGTTTAACGTATCCTTCCATGTGACCTAGCAATTCCACTCCTTATTTATCCAAATGGAAACATATATTCACAAAAAGATTTATCATCAGAGCAACTTTATTCATAAATAGCTAAAAACCAGAAGCACCATCATTTCCATCAACAGAACACTGGATTCATACAAAGAAACATTACTCAGAATGTTTTACAAAGAACAATCCACACATGCAGCAAAACTGATGAATTTCCAAAGACGGCACACCAAGACCCCACAGAGTACACATGTATGATTGTATTGAGGAAGTTCTAGAACAGGCAAAGTCATCTAGGTGTTAAAAGAATGTAGAACTGTGGTAGTGGGGGTGTGGAAAAGAGGCAGGGAGTGAGTTAGCAAGAGAGAACATTGTGGGTTGAGGGCTATTCTCTGCATTGACAGGCATGTGGGCTATAAGTTTGTTAAAACTTACCAAACTTGCATTTCACTGAATATAAATTGTATCTCAATAAAAACTCAGAAGGGAAAAAAAAGCCATGAATGCTTTATAGAGATGTGATCACGAGCCATTAAAATACACGAACCTTTCTTTTCAAATATAGACCCACCTTTACGTCAACATCCCACCCCACCCACTCCACCCTGAATCAATCCCTACAACAGGAATGTGCTTTCCAATCATGCCAAGTGAAAGCATGCACTGGTTCCTATGCAAAAGAACTTTCTCTCCAGAGGGAACTGAAGGCGCACAACGTTAACTTCTGTAATATCTAATGAAAAGTAT